AAAGGTACACGATAATGATCCTTGATGCTTCCAATTGGCCTCCTCGTCCCTTGAACGTGTCAGTTTGCGTCGAATGTCATCAGGGTAGTAGACGCAGCGTATGTCAGCATAGATCTGGTGAATCAAAGCTGCGCGTTCCTTGCAATGTCGGCAGATGCCTAGGTTCTCTCCTCATTGATGAGGTGTGTGATGCAGCGAAGGCTGTATCAAATAGCAACCTGAACGCCGCACTCTTTTGCTTGCAGCCTCAACCGCACAGTGCTATCGAGAAGACATCAATCCTTGCCAAAAGAAGATCATTGGAAGACAAGCTTATGGGGTTTCTCAAATTGCATTTTTGTTGAAAATGGCTCAAACATTGTGCGACACAGCGGGACATGTTTGACACGTTAGGAACCAAATGTTTGAGGACGATGGAGAACCACGAGCTCTCTTTGATTTTCGGGGATTCAGGGCACGGTGGAGACAAAAGACTTCGAGCTCAGCTATGCAACGTGGCTCCCTAGAAAATTGCAATCGACTTTAACTTGGCATATTATTGCAGCTGTCAGAACTGGTCAAGAAAAAACATCTATATGCAACCGATCCAACATTTGTTTGTTGAACATCAACTTAAGGCAATCTTTGTGTGAGCGTGGCTCACAGAAATTTTGGTTTCAAGACCAGCAAAGCGCTTCTCGGTGCTGTGGGGCCAATATCGAGATCACGAGTTTGCGATCTTTGGTCTGATGATTCAGACCGCCCTTGCTCACCACCGCACCGAGCACATTTGTCAGCGTTTAAGTAATCATTAGGCCGTGTTGGGTTAGTTTTTTTTCTTCCTTGTTGTGTTTGCAAGGTGCAACAGCGCGGTGTGCCGGGTACTCGCGAACTTGTGGAAAACCTACTTCAGGGCACTGAAGTTACCCCTGGCAGCAAAGTGTGGCTGGTTGATCTTACTTTGAACAGGCCCATTGTTGCAAGCAGTCAACCATCATTGCATAGTATATTATGCGCTTATGTTCCGCTAGGTGGAACGAGTGGGGGCGCAGTGCTTGGGAGCTGCAGAAGATTTTCATGACGCAGAACAAAGGTTATGACTGGCACTTTGCTGCTTACATTGTGACTGGTGAGGATGAGAAGACTTCACACGTGGAAGACGCCAAGACCTGGATCACGGGTAAGATCTTCTCTGTTCGAACCTCAGTGAGAAGAGTCAAATGGTACCCTCACTGATTGTAGCCTCCGCCCAGGAATGGTGGGACAGCTGTCCTGACGCTGGCCCAACAAAGAGGCCAAGTGTAGAATACTCTGAGGCGAAGCCTGCCCTCAAGGTTTTGGCCATAGACAATGACAAAGTCAAGCTTTTTGTATGCAACATGATGCTTGTAAGTAAGCAGATCACTGTCACTAATTTAATGTATGTCAGGTGGAGTCCAATTCTGATTCACACGCCTGGGCCCCCGAAGCTCAGGCTACCTGAGGCCGTGTCCCAGACTTTGCATGGGAAAGCAGACGTTCTGCAATCGAAGCTCGATTGTTGGAATTCAAAGCATTCGCTCACGCTTCTTCAGCCAGGGACAGGGGCAGCTTCAGGCACTCCAGCTACTACCTCTGGCAAGCGTACTGTAGGAAGCCGCACACTCTGCAGGCCTGTTTATGCTGATGGAGAGTTCTTGAACTATCGTGCCACCCGCGTTCCTGCTACTGTCACGACCAACGCAGAGTTCGAAGCAAACAAGACGCGTTCCGTTTGCAATCAATGTTGCATGTTGGTGTTTGTTTTTGCTCGTTGGTTTGCTGGCTAGTGACGCATTTCTCGCTCCTGGATCCACCGTCCAAGGCCACGATACAAGACCAAACCCGCATCGAACGACAAAGTTTGGGTCATTGCCACTACAGAGGATGAGTTGTGGATCACAAATCCAAACGCAGACGAGCAGCATTTGCAGGCATGTGAACTGTTTGGCTTCAACGTGGGCACGTTCAATTCAGTACCAGTAGGCCAGGCTCTCAGCCCCGCTTGTAGTGAACGCTGAACTTTCAGCCCCGCTGGTGGTTGCGCCAGTTGCGAACAGGTACAGCGCGAGGCCAGCGTGACAACAGCATCCCATGGATCCTGGAAAAGGACACGCAAACAATCATTCAGGTCACTGAGACAAAGACTCCGACTTGCATTAGCGAGCTGAGCTGCAATGCTACTCAGACTGATGGAATCACAGAATTGACTGTGGTGGAACATTCCCTTCGTCAGCAAATGGAGGACCAGTCTGCTTTAATTTGTTTCCACTATTTTACTAGGTTTGTTTGTTTCCACTGTTTTACCAGGCGCTTGTTGGTCAATAGTTTGTGTGTTCCAGGGCGACACTGTGAAGTCCTTCCGCTATGTGATATCGCCCAGTGCCAAAATCAACAGCTTCGAGCCAAAGGCGCTTCCAGCCGACTGTTCAGCCAGCGCACCAGTCCGATCAACAATGTTCGGGGCTTGCTTCTTAGGGAAGCTTACCAAGCTACCGCAATGTGAGATGTGTCAAACAGTATGGGAAGCGACTTGCCATGTTCTGGAAAGGGTTCACAAGCCTGCTACTAGTCAATGCAAATCTAAATCAATGCAAATCTAATACTACGACGACGACGACGACTACTACTACTACTTCAGGTGGGTTTCAATACATATTTCTAGCCGAGGTGAAGTTGGAACACAATGTGCTCCGGGCCCTCAAACCAAAGTATTGGCTGACGTGCGCGATGAAAATCCCTGGCTTGTCTGCAGTAAAGCTAGGGCGATGTCTGGAAAGTAGCAAAAGTTTTCAAGTTCCTGACAGCGACAATTGGCAATGGGGAAGTTGAGCAATTAATAAAGCAGTTGACATATGTTTGTATCCTAGGATCTTTCCATAAATTTGTCAGGCTCCATGATGCTTGCCAGTTTTGAGTTGCTGTGCTGGCGTTTGCGTTTGATGAGCTTTGAAGTTAGCTCTTACGCGATCAGCAAAAGGAATTGAGGAATTGTACATTGTCACGCATTGCAGTGCTTCCACATTGACTGCTACCTGGTTTGTAGCCTCAAGGCTGAATCCCATTGAATAAATTGTCGTCCATAAGGGCTCAATTTGAGACTTAGTAGGTTCAGTGCTGCTGTCACCAGCTGTACCTGAGTATAGGTATGGCTTCGACCGGATGGACCGCAGTCACTCAGTTGTCAGATGAAGAGGCTGTGAAAACACCTCCGGCTCCCAGAACCAAGGACCCAGTGCCGAAACCCAAACCAGAAACAAAATCGAAAGAAAAACCAAAAGCCCTTCCAAAGAAGAAAGTCAAGGTTGACGAGAGTGATGAGACTGTGCTACCCGTGCCAGAAGAAACCGCAAAGAAGCGACCTGCTTCTGCTGTGGCTGCCGCTTCCGGTTCTGATTCTGCGACAGGGCCAGTTTTGAAGAAACCTGCCGCCTCGAAGTCGAAGGCAAAGGCAGCAGACACGCCGCCGAAGGCTACCAAGTATCTATACCACAAGTTGCAGAAGTGGGGCATCAAATGGAAGAATCGTGAACAAATGACGGTCTGGGACTTGATTTTGGTACTTTAATATATTTTTTCAAGGAACACCATAGGAACACCTGTGTTCATCGCTGCCCTGCGAGGTAAAGAAAACGGATGGTGTGAGCGCAGAGAAGCAAGCAGAGATTGCCGTTCACCGCTCAGTTTTTGGTTTGATTACAACTTTACCACGACAAAGGAGGTCCCTTACTTATGTCGGCCATTTCAGGAGATTTGCCGCCTTGAGTTTGAGACGAAGGACGCTGACAAGGAGGAAGTGAAACGACTGGCGGTTTCAGACTCAGTTGGCTTAAGTTTATTCAGCTGGTGTTTTCCAACTGGACAGGTGTCGTCAGTTTTTGTAAATTCATGATGTCGATACCTGAGGAATCGTTGCTGACAGCAGAAGCCAATGCTGCAGCTACTCGCATCGCTGAGCCGGCGCCCCTTGAGGAAGTTCCTGCGCCCATCGCAGAACCGACGGATGGACATGAGAAGGAAGAGAATGAAGATGAGGAGGGGGGCGAGGAAGAGGCCGATGAAGCGGCTGATGACATTAATGTCGATTAGGTCCTAGGTTTCACCTTGAAAGTCACACCTTGGAAGCGACTTGCGCTGTGGAAAACACGCGCACTGTCACTTTGAAGAGGTTCGGGATTGCTTCATGTTCTTCATTTTTGGCGAAAGCGTTTGAAGGGTTCGGTCTTGGTCGATTTCGCACACTGCAGAGTGCACACCCACTCAAACAAAGAGACGGGGGAAGGAAACAAAGGTACGGTGTTTTAACATAGTCTCATTTTTAGAGACTAGACCTTTAACATCATAGTCTCCTTTTTTTATGTTAAGTAATTGTTTCAAAAATGTTGCGCAATCCTTCTCGCCCACTCGATCCCACCCCAAAGTTCACGCAATGTGCACGCAGCGAATAGTGCATATCAAATGTGTGGCCGTGTGGGCTGTGGAGCTTGGGAAATTATTCGCGCCGCTGCAGGGTACTGCTGCCGAAATGTGTGGCCGTGTGCGCTTAGAGCTCGGGTGCTCGTCAGGCGTTTGGTAGTGGAGCCACAAAACTAGGGTGGCATGGCCTCACAAACCATGGATGTCATGGTACACCACTTGCATTTTGAACGCCCGGTTAGGCCGAAAAAATCTTAAACCCAGGAGGGCCGAGGTTCCAGTTCGATTCTGAGAACCGAAGCTTGGGACCACCCAGCATTGATACCCAGCGCCGAACCAAACATGCGCCTCGTTCTGAAGCTTGGGACACGAAGCACCAAGTGTTCCCAGATGGACCGATAGGAGATGGAACGGAACATGGACCTAGCAGTCAGTGGAGAACACACATGGTTTACACAGGCCTGAACAAGCAGCACTCTGCCTGAACAAGTTGTGGGTAGACTTTGGCTGGGTGCCCTCCCAGCGAACCGCACAGAACGACCCATACGTTGGATCTTCCCTTCTTGCTGAGTCGCAGAACGCCCCAGGGCTCACAAGACCCGCTCTAGACCCGGATTGAAGCTCGGCGGTTTCGTCCGGGTCCTGCGCGTCCTGGCGCTTCCCATGGGGCATGAGTTGAAAACCGACTGGACCCTGTGGACTGGTCCTTTTACATCCTTTTACTATATAGTTATAGTATACAGTGTTATAACAGATAAGCAATGGTTCTTTGTTTTACAGATCATGAGTTCAACATGTGGGAATTCGGATGAAGATTGCAAGCGGGTGGATGAAGACCTGTGGGGCCCTTGGAGATTGTCCAAACTCAGTGGGACTTGATTTGGGTCAAGAGTGCTGAGGGTATAGGTTTGGCATTCGCCAACATGTTGGGAATGGATCGACGACTGAACACCGTTGAGGAACAGTAGCAGATGCTGTAGGCTCAGGGCATGCTAGTTTCATTTGTACCAGCGCCTTCAGCGGGTGGTTTCCACCAAGGCAGATTTGTTTCTTAGTGTTGCTTCCCGGTACGTGTGTAGATCATGCAATGAGTGCAGAAGCAATATCGCGTGTACTACCCTGTACCCAGCTCCGTTGAATCTGCTGATATGGCATAAGATGTACACATATATATAATTACCTAGAACCCATTTGACCTTTGTTTTGATAGGAAGTTTGACCATGTTTTGGCTCCAAAGCAGGGGTCAATCAGGTTCTATAGGTATATGTACTGACCTTTTGAAGGGACGATGAGCCCAGAGAAGAAGCCTCACACATCCAACGTGCAGTAAAGCGAGAGGAAGGGCAAAGCTGTGGGCGCACCCAGCTCGCTCCGCTCGAAGAAATGCGGCCAAGGCCCTGCTTGCCAAGCTTGCGGCCTTGGCCCTACGCCACCTCCTCCCGCGCCCGCGATGCAACACGTGTGGCGCTGGGGGAGCGTGTCGTGAAGGCTCTACGAGGAGCCATGGAGGAGGACTGCAGATTAGAGATGGACGAGCCCTGGCATCAAGTCATTTCAGTTTGCCGAAGACGGTGTTGGGATGGGGAAATTTCATAGGGCTTACATTAGAAGATGTTGGGTTTACATATTAGAAGTCCCATCATGAGTTGAAACATGTAAACTGGTTGCTCAACGTTTTGTCACACTGCAACCGCAGAAAGCGCATGTGTGAAGAAACGCGGTACAGACATCACCAAAGCACCAGCCCAAATAGATCTGTCGTGTTTCTCCGTGGGACCATCCTCTGAACTGGCTTAGTGGTTCATGCTTTGTTTGGTTCCCTTACCTTAGAGGTCCCTGATGCTAAGGTCAAGTTCTTCATTAGAACACCCCTGCCAGTTGAAGAAGTCCAGTTGGTCTACCTTCCATGAAATATTCCTTGGAAGTGGAGTTCACCACATGTTTGATCTTCAGATTGAATATGGTAAAAACAAGTAAAGTAAAACGCGGGCCGTTTTCCATCCACGTTGGCCCACGAGTATTCCACTGTTCATGTCCAACTTGGGACCGCATGAGTATTCCAGGCCGTTGACAAAGAAGACCTCCAAACCTCCATTTAGCCAAGAGTTAGGGTCGTACTCATTTTGTACAACAAGAACAGGGACGACTGCAATGTTCACACCGGGCCACGAAGCGGCCATCGATGGCCTGGTTTAAAGCGCGGTGAGAAGTAAGTAGTGCCACGTGCTAGCAGCGGTCAACCTATATATATGGAACTCTGACCAGCCAACCAGACTAGATGATAATTGCTTCAATTGGTTGACTCCTTTTTCTCAACATGTATAACATAGTGTATAGCAAGTCTGCAGTCCTTTCTCTCAGTGTCCGAGCGGATAGTCCACGTATAGTTGGAGAGAAGCACATGGCCCAAACCTGGAATGCTCAAACCTCCCACATGGCCCAGCTCTAAATACCAACCTCGGGTCTGTTTTCGGTTGAGCGCCACTGCAACAGCTGTGCCATCATGTTTGATCCATTGGCCCCAACACTCTGCTTCGTCCGAATCATTAAGACCACAAGCATACGCAAGCGCCACAGGATGGATACGCTTCCTAGGGTGGATTCTTCTGAGCCAACTAGCAATGTTGGATGAAAGAAAAGCAACTCAAGAGACTCCAATGTGTCAGGGGCTTGATGTTTGATCTCCATCCGTCACGAGAAAGCTTCATGATTGATGATTTATGAGTCAAGAATCAACAGATGTGTTACATATATATATATAGTATTCTATAGTGACACCTCTGCAGGGCAACCCATGGGGGCCAGGGATGGCCAGGGGGTCACCCCATTGAAAAAACCGTCCTGGAGTAGCAGCAGAACAATATGAACCAATCCCTCCCCAAAAAATAGAGTCATTTTGTGAAACTCATAGAGTCATTTTGGGGATTGGTTCAACATGACTCTATTAATAGGAAACGTTTCCTATTGTTATCTTGTGGATGTTCCCATCTTTTGTCTACTCCAGGAGTCATTCTATAAATACACATCCACATGGATTGATGGCGCAAAGCCAGCCTTCAGGGAGCCTCTGAGGCCATGACCTGGTGCTCAAAGGCTTCAGATCTCGAGCCTCAGAAGCACCACCAGGGCCTCTCTGTGGGCACGCAGGCTGCGCAGGCTTCTGCGCAAGATGCACAGCACGCGGCATGGTGGCCTGGTAAAATCGGCAGAATTGGATTCTAGCATTCTCATGTGGGCAGATTCTTTCAAGATGTTCAATGCCAGCACGCAAGATTCATGCCCAAAAGGTCGCACGAGGGGTCTACAGGCTCACAGACCTGTTGGAAGCTAGCTTGGTAGGGAATATGACGTGATTGTTCTAGGTGTTTGAAGCAAATCCAAGGTGGGCGAAGATGCAGGCTTTGAAGGTGGCGACATTCCATGTGGAAAGTCTGGAACAGCTACAGCAGAAGCTGCAAGAGCAGGAGCCACATGACCTGGAAGCGTTGACTGTTTTGAGGTTTTCCAGAAGTTTGAACCTGCAAAAGATGCAGGTGTGGATTATCATCTACCGGCTTTTCGCACCTTTCACCTTCAAATAGATCGTTGGATCAGTTCCAGACCTGATTGAGATGGGGTAAAAACTGAGGATGATCTGACTGGCATGATTTTACTTGCTCCACAACCAACCAGCAACATCACCACTTGATACAGTAAAAGCTTAAGCTTTGGTGGATCTGACCCCACCTCACAACCCCCACGTCCAATTTGCGTAGCCTTATGTTGCGGCAGGAAACACACACAGAGGTGCGGCCACACTTAGTCGAGGACTAGGCTCTTCATTGCTCCATTCCAGGGCGACGAAGCCCAGAACAAACACATGCACAGGCGGCACTAGCAAAGGAGTGTCTATGTCCAGCATGTCGCGTACCCTTTTCATGTTAACAGCTTATCAGACAATACCAGGAAAACACACATATTACAAGACTTAGTCTTGAATCATTGTTTACCAACCTAGCAACCAAGGGATCTTGAGGGATGATACTTTTCAACGGTAAACACCTGAAGGACCTGAAGGTGTTGCCTATGTTCGTTTCGTTTCAGGCTTGTATGCATGGTTCAAACACACGCCAGACGCAACTATCCGCCATGCGCCCGCCATGCGCGCTGACCCACCCGCTCATTCGAAACCCAGGCCAGCCTCCGTGTTCCTGCAGCTGGACGGAGCGAAGGCCGGAGCCCCGCACACCGGAGGTTCCCCAATGAAGGCGTTGAAATCAACCCGTCTTGGACTCCTGAACCGTCAGTTGGGGTCCGAGGTGAGACAGAAACGGGAGCAGATTCGTTGGATGGTTGATGTGGGCTGCGGTTTTGGGGGAAAAGAATCGGAAGGGCCCACATATGGTGATCTATGAGGTGAATTCATGCTGCGGGCCCACACGCCGCGGGCCCACACGCGGCTCTTTTTCGGATCCGATCTCGCTGATTCGCCGTCCTGGTTCACGTGACCTGATGTGATCGGCGCGGTTCCGAGCGGTCAGTGCGATCTGGACAGAGTGGAAGATCAAAAGGGAAGGGCTGCAAGGATGCAAGGTGAGGAGCCCACCAGGAAAAAAGCCCTTGGTGAATGAACATCCTAAAACTGAGCTGTAAATGGAGGACATTGCTAAATTGACGGACTCTATTTCAATCTCACCCCAAAGAAATATACAACTCAGCAGTGAGGGACGTGGGCAACTCATCGAGACCGAGGCCATCCGATCTGCAAGTCACCGAGACCTGATTGCGATTTCTGAGGCCTGGGAGATTCTGGAGTGGCTCCTGAGCAACGAGATCATCAAAATCCGCACCTTGGAACTCCACATCAGCTTTGGGAGCAGTCCTGGCGCAGTGGAGCAACTGGACTGCAGATCGGAGCACCGGATCTGTTGAAACCTCGTTGGACAACACCAAGAAGCACACATCGCCGACATACCCTATCTCACCCCAATGGTTATGCACTATGACCAACCTAGGTGCACGACCTTGTTCGGTTGCAGATCCGCCTTTCACGATGTTCCGCGAAGAAGTTGTCACTTCCAGTTGTCACTTCTGAGGATCTTTGAACCAATTCCCACCGGTGCAAAGCACCGGATCATCCACTTAAACTGGTGCTTCGATTCGACGTCGAATCGGTGACGTCGGCCGTCGGGAGGTCGGTGTCGAAGAGCGTGCGTCGATGTTGGTCGGTCAGGCGACAGATTGGTTTTCTGGAGGCCTTGGCCGAGCAAATGAGGTGCCTTGGTTTTCTGGTGCTGCTGGGCGCAGTGGGGACAAACAAACAGATGGGCTAGACAATGGTTGGATCGTTTTTCACTGCCCAGGGCATGAGGATGTTGTCACATGTGTCACGTTGCATTCCAGAGCTGGCAGGGCTGGTGGCTTTTATGATTCGTTGTTTGACGGTCGAGTCACGTGTGCGAGTGAATTAGGTGCACAGGCTCCACACTGGAATCCTTTGCAGAGCATTGGGCGGAGACGAAAGGAAAGCCACTGGGCCTGTGAAGAAGGGCATTGTGAGACCAACTCATGGTGTGAGTGGACATGATCCACTCGATCATGCTGTTTTTTGGAACGAATGCAAGAACTGGCTCTTTCACTGGCGAAGCAAGGACACCTCTTGCTCTTTCAGAGGCTCCATGTTCAGTATGACTTGAGTGATCCTAGCAGATGTGTTCCAAGGGGTCCATAAAAATGGGCCGCCGGATCTTGGCATGTGTGTGTGCGCATGTCGTGAGCGTGCGTGGATGAAGCTGCAGTAGCTCACATTCCGCAGCTTTCTCACCCCGATTGGAACTCTTTTGTTCATCCTTTGCTTCTATAATGGTTTCCTCTAAGGCTTTGCTTCGTGCAAGTTCGAAGCACACGTATATCGAAGTACCGATATGATTTCGGGAAGAGTGGATCGAGCCCACTATTCCAGAATATATGCTCACATTGGCCCTGGTTCGACCACCCCAATGCATGTGAAATCATGTAATATGCCAGTTCCATTGGTCGTGTTTGGGTTTGCTTGTCCACCCAAAAACTCGATGTTTGTCACTTCGGACACCAAATAAAAGATCAACAAAAGCATGACGATCATCCCAAGTCCCATGTTCATCGTCCATTCTGACCGTCGATTCTCGTGACTTCCGGCTCTCCGCCTCCCACCGCCTACCTCTCCGGTTTCTCCAACTACCCGCGTTCGATGGGCGTTCGACAGCGATGCGTTCCGCGCGTTCCGCGTCGACCCCAGGACGTGCTCGGAGCAGTGCGAAGCACCAGAGATCCACAGCTCGGGTGGGATCCCCATGACCAGTGTCATCTCCGTCAGCTCCTCGGAGAGCGTTGCTTCGGAGAGCGTCCGGGTGACGAACGGCACCGGTTCGCTGGCCTGAGTTCATGAAGCGAAAGAACCGCCGGTGTGGTGAAAACCATGGAAGCTTTTTGCACCATCTAAATGCACCGGAACACGCGGTGCCGTGCCAAAAGAGTGGTAAGTGGAGACGTGGGGGTCATGGGATTCGGGGGGTTCATGGGGGTTCCATGGACCATGGGGGACGTGTTGAGAACAGTCGACGCGGAAACAATGTTTAGAACAGTCTGGGAGGAACGGAAAGCAAGAACAAAAAGACACACACGCAGCGAGAAATGACGTTTTTGGTCCATGCCGCACGGGCACGGAAGGACTGGAGTTTTCCTGTGGTTTGGAAGGCGTTAAAACTATTTAAGACCCAAATAGGATGATTAAGCAAGTCTGTATAATAGATAAATTATAGTAATTACCTTGAGTCTCCAATGACCCTTTTAAATTTGCCTTTCCAAGAAAAAGAGGTTTTTGAAAGAAAGCACTCTTTTTTGCATATGTCACGAAATGTTCCTTTTTTGTTTGTGCCCTGTCAGATCCTCCTTAGACAGTGTCCTGAGACCTTTTTTCGGCGTCCAAAAGGCGTCTGTAAGCGTCCGTGCCGGACGCGTCCGGATGAAGATTCACTCTGCACCTTTTTTTTGAGTCCTCATCTCTAAAAACGCGTTTTTCGAGCAAAAACGCAAAAATATTAGACCAAAAACAAAAACGCAGAAAAAAAGGTCTTTGGAGACTCAAGGTATATATTGTTTTATGCAATGTTATATTAACCCTTCTATCAGAAGCACCTCACGTTGGAGCATGATACAGGTTTGGAGGAATTTATTCATTTCACTTCATTTGCATTCTGAACTCCAAATCAATGTTTGCAAAACAAAGCAGGTTGGATGCCACATTTAGGGTGACAAAGCATAACTGTTGTTATCTTTAGGAGCGGCATCTTGGGAAAAGATAATCTACACCAACCAAGCCAAAGCAGTCTCCACCAAAGAGTTAGTTTCATTGATCTCACACCATCTCCGACCCTCCGATCCCTCATCCCTGAAACCAAGTCTTCAGGCTATGTTCATCGAGACGTTCTGGGTCTATGAGAAAACGTGAGGATGAGAACGATCATGTCATGGAAGAGAACTGCCGGACCTGCCAGAATGGTTTTACATCTTCACACATGGGGGGGTTCTTAATCACAGTCTACATTCGAGAGAGGGGAAAAAAGAGAGAGAGAGAGAGGCTGAGAGACCGGACCGAAACACGGCGGACACGACGACCGAACTGCATGGAGTGAGTGAGAGAATCAGTAGCTCTGGAGTGAGCTGCTTTGGTGCCTTGAGTCCAGTGTTTCCCAGACACTAAATGGGACTGATGGGACTGGCACATTGAGCTACATTGGGGTGGTTGAAAAGGGGTCATGTATGTTTATATTTACGGGTCACCTACTCCTTAGGTCCATCCACGCCGCCACGGAGCTCCGACCCGCTCCCTCGCGCCGAAAGCGCCAGGAGGACGCACCGCTTCGGTCTTCGACCTGTTGGGACGCGGCAGACCGTAGCAGCATGGCAGTGAGGCGACGTCGACACAGAAAGAGAGGTGGCTTCGGTGGCTTCACCGGCATCTTCCACCGTCGTCCCCTGCGGGCAGACGACGCTGTGGAGCTGCCGGAGATGGAGCACCGCCGAGATCGAGATCTGCTATACGCGCGCGGATCAAAGGACGGTGCGGCTGGTGTGTTATGGACGTGCGAGTGGACGTGCGAGTCAGGTCACCGTTTCGGAGCAAGAGTACCTGGTTCTCCAGGTAACTAGGATTATCTAGGAACCATCTAGGAAGCATCATCGCTAATCATCGCTATAACCTTTTTTAGGATCTAATAGAAGCAAGCTAAAGCGAGTTATGGCCCGTCTTGGTTGCGTTTGCCCAAGATGGATGTATTGTTTAAGAGTAATTATAGTGTCTTTGAACATGTTTAAACTATGTCGACTATGCCAATGAGATGCTCCAATCAACTGTCAATGTCGCAGCAGAGCCACCGGGCCACTTGTCCCGTTTCTTCCCAACAGCTGACCCAAAATCGTTTCCAGAAATCGTGTAAAACAGAAACCATCAGAATCAGTGAGAAGAGCGACTGAGCTACACTTGGGAAGGCAACTGAGGAATAGAGCAGCGACTAGTCGGAGACCATTAAGTATAACCCAGACGCGACCCATGGGACTGCCATATATATGCCATTCAGTTGGGGTGGTTCTGGGGGTCAATGTAGGCATATATGGCAGTCCCATGGAGTGTATGGGTAAATAGGAGAGGCTGGAAGCTCTTCCTATCACATTCAAGTGAATCAGCTGCCAGCAAGACTCGCGGCTGTTATTTTGTCCCTCCCCAGAGCACTTCCCCATGCCCTGGGTTTGAAATCCTTCAGCTGGCAATGTTTCAAATGCCAGGTGGTCAAAGGGAACCTTAGGTCTTAGGTTGTCACCCTCTAGAGGATCGCTCACGACTGTTGCTTCTCTTAACTGCAGCACTTCGCACTGCACTCCACTGATCCTCTGAAAGGGAATGCCACCACTCCCAAGACCAAGCACTTCGGGATGTGCCTTTGAAGCTGGTGCATTCTTCTCCAACAAAGCTGCAACTGCGGATTTTTTTCCCATTGAAAGACATGCCATGTGGCTAGTTCAACTGCACAAATTGACTTCCCTTGTCAGGTTTGGATAATTACTAGCCAGTTTACTAGCCATATTTCGTGGCACAACCTGGAGGAAGGGTGCTTTCATTAACCCCAGGCCCACGAGGTTGAGGTTCCGAGTGCGGGCCATTTTCTCTTTCCCGAACAAGGTAACCCAAACATGTCAAATGAAGCCAAATGCTAGCCAAGTCATACTGTACCTATTTCATCCTATGTCCATTGTATGTCCATTGTTAGCCCTTTGCGTCCTATTTCACAGTGTCATCAACATCCTGAGGAACATTTCGCCCATCCATGTCCACGTCACGTTCCTCCTTTGGCATCATTATCACCTCCGTCACCGACGGTGTCATCGGTGTCATCTGCCTCAGCAGCTGCCATCTCGTGCACTGATCGGACCTTCAACTTCTTCTTCAGTATATAGACCATACTCTTGAGCATCTGACTGCTCCTACGCAAATTGACACGAGCGGATTGCCATTTTCTCAGTGAATCTGCAGCGGGGTGCTAGACAAACCACAACAGAACAGTAAGTACCACTGGTCGTTAATAGTCCCGGCAAATGCTGATCCTTTTAAGTGACGTGTTCGACCGCGATGTTGCTGAAAAGCACGCTTTCAGCAACTCAGGTCATAGTGCAGCTGTCTCCTTAAGCCTGGGACTGTTTCTCATTTATCCCTTCAAACTTTGAGAAACAAGTGTATCCCCCCAGGCCCCCACCGCCTGTTTTGTTCAAGCGTCGCATGGTTATTCGTGTGCCAAGCTTCAAACCGATTGGGATGCATCGATGACAATGCTCCTTAGCGGCTGGATGATAGACTTGCACCGTGTGTACTTGCCTTTGACTGGCTGCCCATGACTGGCTGCTTCGTCGATTGAGGCTTTTGGATGGTTTTGCCCCCCCATGCAAATCCCAATTGTTTCACATCTACTTCTACTCCAACCTCGATCGAACGGACCAACCTCCACGATCGAACGGACCCAGCCATTGGCCGCAGGCCATTTGGAACGCCTTAACCAGCGAGGTGGACTCCATGATCACTCAAGGCGCTCCCGGACTCGACCGGAGCCGGAGACCGAAGGAGACGGTCCCGCCGATCGCCCGGGATAGTCGTCCTTTCACCTCGCTACAACTGGAGCCTGGCACCTAACGTCTCCAAACACCAGAGGTTCGGTGGTTCACACTGGAGCCTGGCACACAGGAATCGAGACAATACATGACATAGACGCACTTTTTGATGAAACACATCGAGGATCCCTTTGCCTGGACTCCCTTTCTCGGGCGGGCGGGCGGGGGGGGAATGGGAGGACTCCGCACCGAACGAAAAAAAGCCCCGCCCGCGCGCTTCCGAACGGAGGGTCGCCGTGTTCGGGTCGCCCGCTTCGCTTCGCTTCACCGGGGAAGCCGCAGGCGAAGAAGAAGTTCAGCGGCGAGGAAAAGAGCTGGAGGTGCCCAAAGGGATGTGAATTCTTGACGCAGGACACATGGAATTTGGACGGACGTTCCATCTTCCAGCAACATGCAATGATGACTTCGAGATCCCCTTGCCAATATCCTCTATTAAATGGGGAGGGTCCACCCTCCATATTTTGAAATATGACCCCTACCCCTTGGGGGGGTCAGCTCCTCATTTTATAGAGGAAATTGTTTCTGCATGATGGCGCCGCTGCTTTCCATTACTTTTCTGAAGCACCTGCAAGATGGTAATGTTTGCTCATGAACAAAAAACAAGTGATGTAAATACTATGAAAGAATAGGAGATATAGGAAAGGTAAGCAGGTCAGACGGTTTGACATTGAAGCACAAGGACACAGAAAATATAGGACACATTTTGAATTTCGCGCACCACCTTTGCTGTGCGGCCAGTTTCTTTTACTTTTGTTGGTTTTGGTTGTCTATTTTTGATGATAGTGTAGATCTCGTGTCGTGGGCTGTGTCTTTGGAAGCTTTTTGGGATGCAGGGGTTTCTTAGGGGGGTTATGCTAGATCAAGATCTTTGATAGACAGGCGTTGGACGAGAAAAACATGTCGCTCATGGTTTTGCTGACAATGCTTGGCGAGCATTTTGCCAGTTTTGCTGGAGATTGAGACACAGATAGGCAGGTCAGGAAGGCTCAAATTATCTCAAATTAGGATGTGCGTGTTTTGGTCAGGTAGTTCAAATTAGGTTCCCCCAGGAGGTTGGCTCCAGCGTTTTATGTCTATAAAATGGGTGTCTGGACCCCCCCACTCATATTGGAATGGTGATACTTCGAGTGTCCAAAATTGCTGGAGCATTGGAACAGGATGTTGGATGGATTTTTGTCATGCTTTATGTCGTGCTTTGTCAGTTTTTGCCTTGATGGACCCTTCTGACCCTTTCGCAGGTTGGACCCGACTCGCATTCGACCTGACCGTGCGAGTTGCGTGCCCCGTCGGACGACCCGGCACAACGGGGCAACGTCCGGTGCACCACACCGGGTCCAGTCTCTGTCGGAGTGCAGCGTTCGTCTTCTGAGAACCAGCACCCGACTCTAGAGGTCTCCGATGGCTGGAGGGTTGGGAAGCGCCCGTCACAGGTTTCAATTGGTGACCTGTTGGCCGTCGGTGCTGGTATATATCTCGGATCCAATCTCCAGGCACGTGGCAAGTTCGGCCCACAGAAGCTGGAGGCGGTGGCTTTCGCTCTCGCGCGCGTACGCTTAAAGGGCAGCCATGCGGTTCGAAGATGTGGGGCCACCAATCAGACTGGTTGAAGACTGGGGCCTCAACGTCGAGGCCACCCGAGAAACATGGGAGAAGAACCGTTGAATTACATATTGGGTGATGAGGACAGGGTGGAATAGGCAGTTCGAGATGGGTTTACGCCAGCTCTCTTTTTTGCAGGAGTATTGGAGTACTTGTCCCTGTTTGGGCATGCTGTGCCTGTCCAAAATTAAAAACTATGGTTGGAGCACACCTAAGATTCCCTTTTGTGGAACGGGAATGGCCGAGACATGGTTTAGTTTAGATTCTTCAGATGTTTAAAATCCTGTGGAGCCTGTGCAAACCAGACGGATTGCTACAGGTTTCTAGGACTTCAGCCATGACGGATTCCTAGTGGTCCTAGTGGTAGATTCAACTAGCTCGAAACAGATTCCCCAAAGTAACATTTGTTTATGCATGTTTAACTTCAAAAGAAGCCGGATGTTTAAACATGTTTAAACAATGATGTGACATATCACGAAGCAGATAGTGACATGCTGCCATGCTAAAAAAAACATAGTTTAACTATATTAATAAACCTAGATGTTCAACAGTACAAACTGTTTGTTGTAACACGTTCTCATGGACCATCTCACAGGGTCCTCTCCATCCACCTTTGCAAACCAGGTGCCTCAGCTGCCCTTGGTGCGCTTGCGAGTGGAACACTCCGGGCCCTGGCCTTGGTACGAACGTGAACACCGAGCCGGCTATGTAACCAAACGGCTTACACACTTGTAATCATTAGGGCTCCAAGTACCTTCGTTTCGAAGGTGGGACTGGGGTGGGTGCCAGGAGGGTCCAAATACCTTCTGAGGAGATACTTGGAGCTCTAGGGAATGTAATGTATAGTAGTGTGTGTATATACATATACTAGTATACTGTTTTATATTAAATAGATTTACTTGAGAGAATAGTCACGGGAGGGTTTCAGGATTTTTTTCTATTTTCCAGGCTTGTTGTTTTTCTTTGTGGAGCTTGAGCGGAAGGCATTTTCGTGTTGCCAAGCGTGTTTTGCTTGGAATCTCCGGCTGACAGCCGGAAGCTGCCGGCTCCTTCCGGTATTTCACCATGTTGGGTCGGAATCATCCCCAAAAACAGCACCCCCCTCAGTCCCCAAACGTTCACCGAACCGCGTGGAATCATACGTCTCACCCAAGACTGCTTCGCTGCTAGCTAATGGCTGGCCTTTCCGACGTTTTCTCTTAAAAAACATCTTGCAAAGCAATGCACTTCAATCCTTCACTTGAATCCGCCTTCACTTCAATCCTTCACTTCATCTTCCTTTTGGCCAACCTTCACTTCACCGATCCGGCACCGCCTTCGGTTTCGGTTCGGTTTCGGTTTTGTCTTCGTTCGCAGCCACCGACCGGGTCGAACCGAACGGCGCCAGGTTCGACACCATCTCAGCGTCCACCTTTGGGAACCAGTTCGTGGGCCGCGTCGCGAACCCGGACGAGGCGGTCGCGAACCTGGAGCTGAAACGAGAGTTGGAGAGAACTGGGGTGGGATGGTGGGGAAGAAGGGCACGGGAAGAAGTGGATGTTCGAAAAGGATTGCGGTTTGGGAATTATAGGCAGGTAGAACTTTGCTTGTTTGATTTTGCTTGATCTTCGTAACAGTGCTAGCTGATGCTTAGGCTGTTAGGTGTGGAACCTCTATCGGCGTGGCCTCCAGGTACTCCTCTTCCATCGCAAAGGGGGTGGTGGAGCTGCAGGCAGCCGCAAGGCCAGCACAAAGGAGATGATTCTGTTGATTCATGGGTCATTGCTATGTGTTATTCATGTATGTATGTATGTATGTATGTATGTATGTATGTATGTATGTATG